GCGCTGCCTAGTTTGACAGCTGCGTTAGAAACTCCTCGGCTTTGATTGGCTGTTTTTGTTGCTGTCAGGCCATTAGACGCAATTTAAGAGGGCAGAGTAGTATGATTTTTTTTTGTCACAGATTATGTGTCACATGTAATATTATGTGGATAAAGTGACAGTTTCAGCAAATGAGACAAATGTTATTTCTATAAAAAATATCCCAATGCAGCTCTTTTAACCTTATCATTTTCTAGTCTTCCGACCACTCAAAGCGCTTTTGACACCACATATCACATTCACACACACATTCACACACTGGTGGCCGAGGCTACCATACAAGGTGCCACCTGCTACTCAGTAACCATTCACGCGCACTCACACACTCACACACTGATGGAACAGCCATTGGGAGCAGTTTGGGGTTCAGTATCTTGGCCAAGGATGCTTCAACATGCAGACTGGAGGAGACGGGGATCGAACAGCTGCCCTCATGTGCAGTAAATGTGCAGTGATATAAGGCATGTTGCTGCTAACAAGTAAGAAACAAGAATCGGTAAATTTCTGGACAAACTGAAGGATTGGTTACAACTTTGTTCGCTCTGAATACTTGTCCCTCTTGTTGAGCTAAATAAACCATTTGAATCCTTGTTTCATTATCTGAAAAAAAGCATTGTGTCATAAAGAGGTGACATGTTGGAGATACAGCATTTCTTAGATCTGGGGTCATGATGACATCACCGAAAAGAAGTCTGACAGGAGCAGCCAGACAATCAGATAATAAACCTCTCTGACAGTTGTCTAATCTTCACAGCCTTACTTAATGAAGTGATAAAAGCAATCACTGCTGGTGACTTTCCTGCAGAGACACAACTCCTCGTGTCTGTCTTTGGGGTGACAGGAGCTGGTGGAGCACCTGAGGGAGTCCACATGAACACAGCAGGAAGTCCACACACAGGCCGCAGGCGGGTTTAAAACCCAGGAGCTTGTTGGTTTTAGGCCATATTGCTAACTTGAGGCCACCGTGCCGCTGTGTCTCAGCTGGTTGTCAAGGCAACCAAGAAGAGAGGAGTTTTGGCTTATCTGGGCGGACCGCAGCAGTTTTTTCCTCCCCTGCATCTCTGCCCTCTTTCTTCTCTCTCTGTTCAGTGACTGGGGCAGCTGGTGGGAGGCGGTGGGTGTTGTGTAGCTTAGCAACTCCCTTGGTGGATGGCGATTGATATGCAGCTTTGTTCAAGTGTCTCTCTCTCTGAGCCAGAGAGGGGGACGCCTGAACAAAGCAGGCCTTATTGAAGCTTCCCCTCCTCCTTCTCTTTGCCCAGGCACAACGACGTAGGAGGACAAATTTTTCAGCTCAAAGGAAGCGAGACTCAAAGTTACAACAGCAGGTCCTGAGAGTGTAACTCAGGGGCCCGCCGACATCTGTGAAAGGCCTCCAGGTGTCCCCAGGAAAATGAATACATTATGTCCTCGTAGTATGGAAGCAGAAGTCGTCTGTTTGCTACAAATGTCTTCGAAATTCACTTGAAATGATCAAATCACTGAAATCAACTAGTAAAATCTGATTCATCTGATTAAATGTGTGTCTATGAGTCTAATGTGAGCATGTGAGGGTTGTGATATTATAATAGCACATTGAATAGACCCTCCACCCTCATCCATGTTCCTGAGTGTTGTGTCAGTATATCTGATGCTTCTTGTTTGACTTTCTCACAGTTGCCTATTTTCTTTAGCTGTGTAAAACAGGAAATGAGACTGAACTTCAACTGTTTATTGTGTAAAAATCATAAGATGTACAGCCAATATCAAGCTAAAGTCTACACACAAGGGAAACTCATTTTTTTGTAAGCCCTTTTTAAAATAAAATAATGTGAAATACTTTTTTTTTCTTGTTATATGAGAAGATGGATATCAGTTTCATCTCAGTGCATCCAGTCCAGCGATAGAGGTGACTTTGTTCAACTTTAGTTAGGTGAGTCATGGATTAGTCTGAGATTAAAAAATACACATAAAATTGCACAAAACAGAACAAAACAAGAGAAGCAACTTACATACTAATACCTGCCCCAGATTTCCTGCCGACTCGAGCCAGCAGCGACTGTGTGTCGGGACAGTTCTCTGTTTACTGGTCCCAGAGGACCAAATATGAGCCGGCTCTGGCCCAACCACAGCTGCCAGATTCAGCTCAGGTTAAGGGGTGTGGACTCAGCCAGATTTAGGCTGAGATTCAGCTCCTATTAGCAGCACTCAGGGCAGATGTGGGACAGAAACCAAGCTGCATTAGCTGCACTGATCCTGGCAGCCAGCCACACCAAGGTGTCTTCAGGTGGTGTTGTTTTTGCTGTTTTAATGAAAATGGTCCATTTAGATGATGAATTTGTGTCTATAGGATGAAGTAGTGATGTGCGGCTGGAGTGTCTTGTAAACCTCTACTTTTAAAACTACTTTAACCTTTTTTTCCTGCTGTCAATTTGTCTCTTGTTCCTAAACTGATGTTGAAATGCAGCAAACCCAGAACCCTTAATATCAATTTGAACAGGAAGAAGGTACCATCTGTTTTTGTTGATTGATCACCTGATGTCAGCTGACAAAAAGAGGTTAACGTGGCCAGTTTTATGTTTACTTATGATGTTTTGGAGACAGTAAAGAGAAGAGAAAGAGTTTCCAGAGATTCATGACACTTTTATCTTCTCCCTCAGATTTGCTCACTGCTGAATTTTTTCAAATATCCTCAGCTGCTAAAATCCATCCACAGTGAAGTTTTCTACTGAAATATACAGGTGAGCAGCTTCAACACATACATTACTTTGTTTTGAGACTTCAATCAAAATTACTCAGAAAAGACAACACACTTTAGTGCAGACAGTTAAGTTAGATATCTATCTGGCATTTGGTTTTGTTAAAGTTAGACAACAGAGTGTTTTTATGAATTTAGGAACTGGATGTGTTTTGCCTTTTTCTTAACACTTTGCTTGAGAGAAATGGGAAGATGCAAGCCTTGCGCTATCAATATGATTTATATATTTTTATCCTGTTTATTGAACAGGCGTAGAGTTTGAAATGTAAAAAGGAGACTTTTAGCAGCTTTGAAAAAAACAGCTTTATTTTAATATCTTGAGTTATTATGGACACAGGATCCATATTTTGATCCATATATTTAGTGCAGGATATTTTCTTGCATGCACACAACCTTCCTTATTAGATTCATATCTTGTGCATGTGTACAAGATGTGAATTTGGTGCGCAATATTATCGTCTTGGGTAAACAACATACTATAATACAGTGGTTCCCAACTGGTCCAGCCGCGAGGTCCAGGTTTCTCCTTAGTCATTAGTTCAAGGTCCAAGCTAGTTTGCTGCTGCTGTCTGTTAGTCACTCACTCTAAAGCAGGAAATAGCACTTCAAAAGTGCAGCTCTGTGCTGGAAATCCACTGTACTGAAAAATAAATAATGTGTTTTCAAAGTTGACACGTTTGCAAGTCAACTGTGGTCCATTCAGAGTGGACCCGTGGACCACTTTCGGGCTGCGACCCACCAGTTGGGAACCACTGCTATACTATATGGATTAAGATAATGTAACACAAAAGATATACCCCAAAGATATTGTAGTATTATTATAAACTGTGACTTCAGGAATTCCACAGAAGATAACTTGTTTGAAACACTGTGTATTTTCTTTATGTAACTTTGTATAAACTGTATTTAATTTCTAAATGAACAAGAAGACATTCTGGCTACAGCTATATTACAAGTCATTATTAAAAGTTGTATAAATTGTTTTCTGGTATAAACTGATGGCATTTTGTTAAACTGACATATTAAAAAGAAAAAAAGAAAAAGCTGAGAAATACTCGGGTGAGCGAGGCATTCTTGTCTGCTCTCCCCAGAAACTGGTCACAGAGCGACTGTGTTTATTATGTCTGCAGAAACTCAAAAGCCAACTGTTATTGTGAAGCTGTGACCTTCAATAATTGAATAATGACAAAAAGGAGCATCACAGTCAGGCATGAAGAGCTTTCTTCTCCAGTGGGTGTTGAGAGCTCTGCTTCAGAGCATTCCTTCCATTGGAGATCAGAGTGAAAAATCCAACAACATCCGCCTCCACGCTTTTTCCAAATAAAATGAATCCACTTAAGGATATTTCCAAAAGTGTTCACACGTTAATTCAAAAACATGTTTAGGAACAAATGCAGCTGTCCATTAACAGGAGACTCTTTCCCTCTTTTTCTGAACCTTTCCACCCTCTGTCCCCTCTCTCTGTTTTTCTTTCTTTGTTGGGAAAAAAAGATTTCTCCTTGTCTCTCCTCATTGTTCAGTTTCTTTTTTGTTTTTTCACTTTCTCTGTTTTCTTTCTGTCTTCGTTGTGACTTCTCTCTGGTGGTCTTTGTCCTCATGCTTAGCAGCTTAACATTTAACTGAACTCTGAACTTTGGATTTGGATGTCTGCAAACTGAAATTTAATTTTTTAAAGAGAATTCCAATCTCTTTTTTATGTCAAAATATAACATTTAGTCATTGCTGACAGAGCACAGGAATTCATCCTACTGAGCTTTAATTTAACAGGTGGCACAAAATTTCTGCTTTTATAATGGGAGCCCCAGAGATACTGTAATTTCTTGAGGACATGGCTGACTTTAATTTATATTTTTCTTATTGTCAACAGATCCCACATGCAGACCAGAACCAACAATGTGTTAGTCTGTCTCTGTATTCTTTCTGACTTCCCTGTGGCTCTTCTCAGGGCTGAGAGGGGCTTATTGGTTAACTGGAGACATACATCTTTAAAAACACTCCACAAAAATATAGTTTCATTTTAAAAAGAAGGCTCGGTAGTTTCCTAAAACAGCTGCTCACTGTAGTTTTTAACAAACAATACTCCAACAGGATGAATCAGTGCATGTGTTGGGATTATTTTCAGCAGTGGATTAACACACATTTGGAGCTTTAGTGAGTATTTCCAGCTGCAGGATGATCAAAATAAACTACAGGGTGTATGCCCACAGTCACTCAGCGTAGCTCATCAATGTCATCAATGTGTTTTTAATAGTTTTTGGAAAACAAGGGAGCTCTCTGGCCCAGAGGGAGATAAAATACCAGATTTCGGAAACACACACAATACTTGTTAGTTGATACATTCATTGTTGGTCTTTCGATTGAATTTGTGGACAAAAATAAACATATAGAATATCACAAGACTTGTCTTTTAAGATGTGATTCTGCTGCTGAAAAACACACTAGTTTTGATTTTTTTTTTTAAAAAAAAGGAAAGAAAACCATCTATAAAAACGTATATACTTAAAATTCATATTTAAAAGAGAATTTAAAAGAGCACTTTCAGAGTCTAATGCACTTAATGGAAGTTCAACTCCATTACACCCACTTCCATTCCAGTTATTGGTAGAATAAAAATCACTGTAAACACTACTTTTGTATTAGTTGATAAGGTTTACACCAGACATTTGAAAACACACACAGAAAAAGGATTAATCACAGGTCATGTAACACAGTTTTTCAGAAGATCTAAACTTTACTGAACCAAAAGTAACAAAACAAGTCAAACGTCACACTGAATTGTTTCTTGTAGCTTCAAAATATTGATTGATCTGTAGTATGATCTCATCCCATTTTAACAGCAAAATGTCACGTTAAAGGTATACTATGCAGGAATTGTAGGCTACTGTTTGATGGTGAAAGTCAACCCCAGATTTGTCCGCTTAGCATTTTGCCATTTGTCATAGCTTCTTCTTGGATGCCTACTCCATCTAGTACCTGGCTGCTACCTTTTTACAAAGTCCTTTACAAAAAATAAGAAAATACAGGCAGAGGACAGAGTCTGCAGATATATACACTGCCACACCCTTCTAGTGGGCCATAAGTGATAACTGAGAGGGATCCCTGCATAGTATACCTTAAAAAACAGTTTAAAAGTTCACAGCAGTCTGTCAGTCTGCTGACAAAGAAGTCTCAGAATGTCTAGCTTCAATTTAGCCGACTTAAAAAAATCCCCCAAAGTCAAATGATCCAGTGTTTCTATCTCATACAGTACTTAGAGCAGATAATACTAATATCCTGATCGAGCATTAGAGATTAATAACCACTATAGAATGTATCACAAAAAACTGCAAAACAATAATAAGAGCTATGAATACAGGATTAAATCCATCACACTAAATTTCTTTAAAAAAATACAAGCAAACAAACAAATAAACAAACTCTATATTGTACATAATTATCTAACGCTAGTCAGATAAGTTCCTGCTCCTACAGGGGCTCTACACACCACCAGTTCATACACACTGAAATGTAAGGATTGTTCTGATTTATTACAACTTTGGTGTTATTTTGGTGGTTTTGTCCATCATTTCTATCAGTATTAATATATTCATATCTGAGGTCTGGGAAAACGGTGCTTTCACTAAAACAAAGAATGACAGTTCAAGAAAGCTCGAGCAGTCAGACATTTAGACAGGTTGAACAAATCTGTAAGTAAAAGTCATGTGGAGGTAAAAGTCAACAATGTCAGCATCACAGACTGTACAAAACAAGTGGACGTAGCCACTGTGACGTCATCCATTGGTTTGTGGACTCCCGTTTTGAAGCCTCGAGATTGGCATTTTGGCCGTCGCCATTTTGTGTTTTGGAGCCAGCAGTGACCATATTAGAATGAGGGGGTGAAACTTTGGAAAAGGGAGGAATAGGTATGACTGAGAACCCAAGGACACCTCCGTGGTAGTGACTTGTCATTCACAAGGTAGCCCCACCCTAAAGCATACCCTGCTTTATTGTCTACTTTACTCTAAAAGGGAACATAATTTACAAACTGAACATCATGCTGTAATGAAGGTGTAAAACTAGCGACTGAGACCATAAACTCATCCAGGAAATGTTTATCGAGGTAATAAATCAAGTAAGAACTGGATCATTTTCTCATTGACTTCTGTACAATGCAGGTTTAAGGCACTTCTGCATTGACTTTTCTTTTCTGTTAACCCCTTGGTCAGCGTTCATCTCAGTTAACAGACCCACTACCTGCTTTAACTTTGACCTCACCCTACTTACTGTATTACTAATAAAGTGGTTTAGATAGACCACATGATTGAGAGTGCGTCAACAACCCAACAAGCACACAAACAGTAAGTTGAACATCACATTTCATCCCAAAACCATGAGCATTAATCTGCAGGTTTAAGTCTTTCCACCAGATGAACCTGCTGCAGGGATTCACTCCCATTTAGCCACAAGAGCATGACTGAGGTCCGACAGTGATGTTGTCGGGTGGTCAGGTCTGGTTCACAGCTGGTAATTAAGTTCATCCCAAAGTTTCTGGACGGGGTTGAGGTCAGTGCTTTGTGCAGGCCAGTCAAGTTCTTCCACACCAAACTGGGAAAGTGGTAAACAGGTAAAGGGACAAACACATACTGTTGGCACAAAGTTGAACGTACTAAAATATCAACTTTCATAGAAACTAAGAGACCAAAACTAAACCAGGAAAAAAAAATTCCAACAGAGGTGTCCACATACTTTTGTCTCCAACCTGTTTGATCATCTGACTGCTCGTGTTTCTTGATCTGTCAGACTTCTTCTTAGTGAAATCACCAGATCTCTGCTATTAACTTAATGAGTATAGACAAAATGGACAAAACCACAAGAATAAGACCTGAGTTGTAATAAACCTAAATGATCCTTTAAAGTTACATGTGGTTAAATATAGTTCTGGACCTCAGCAGGGCGTCCCGATAGCTGCTGAAGAGTCTTTTGCTCGGTCGTAGCAGACTGCTGATTCTGGCACCAACAGACTCTTCATCATCTCATCTTTACTGGACGGAGACAGGGAGGTCGGAGATGGCGATGTGGGCGAGGAGAAGTTGGAGGTGGCGGTGGTTGAGGCAGATGAGGAGGAAGAGGAGTTGCCGTCTGGGAGGCACTCTTCACAGCAGCAGCAGCAGCAATCCATGAAGGCCTGGCCCAGCGAGCGACACAGGCACAGCAACAACACCGGCGTCGCCGAGCAACGCACAAACAGCAGGAACTGTCCAATCAGACTCAGAGCTGGCAGAGCCAGAGCAGGGAGTGCAGCGGACACGTGGTCGGACACATACGCCAGGGTGATGTTACAAATGCTCTCTGGCAGGTTGCACAGGATGTACAAGACTGTGAGTGACATCACGGTGGAGCGCAGTCTCTGCTCTCTCGTATGCTGCTTTTTCTTTGTCGAGGATGAAGACGCAGACGAGGAGGAGGAGCATCTGCCAGTCACCTTCTCACCAGCGGGTTTCTGCGGTAGACGCTGGGCTAACACTTGCCTCGTCACCAAGTCGCAGGCCAGAGTGAAGAGCAGTGGCAAACAGAGGTAGCACCCAAAGACCCACCACATGCGGGCCTCATGGTAGGTCAGCACCAGAGAGTAGATGCTCTCTGGGAGCTCCACAGACGGCTCACGGACACAGATATCCACCTTGAACGCATCTGGTCGGGCCCTGAAGGCAGCTATCAGCGAGCCTCCTGGCTGACTCTGCTGCTGGTCACTGGGGAGCACAGGCAGGCTGACAGTCTCCTGGAGGAGCTGCCACAGCAGCAGCTCAGGGGCAGCCAGCACCATGGAGCCCACCCAGATGACGGACAGTTTGGATAGGATGGACTGGCAGGGCTCCACCTTTGGCGTCTGAAGGGGCCCGGGGCCGGTGGCTGCATGGAAGCGATCGATACTTAGAGCACAGAGGCTGAATGTGGCCACACCCAGAGAGGTCACCTGACAGAGAAATGACAGAGTGGCATGGAGATAAAGATTAATGGCACACGTTTCTTTGGAAAGAAGATTGTTTTCTAGGTCAGGTATAGGCCATGTAAGTTCAAGTGTGTAGGATTTAGGGGCATCTATTGGCAGAAATTGTATATAGTACTCATAACTCTGTCTTCATTAGTGTGTAATCACCTGAAACTAACAATCATTGTGTTTTTCATACCTTAGAATGAGACGTTTATATCTACATAACAGAGCGGGTCCTCTTCACCGGAGACAGACATGTTTTTCTACAGTAACCCAGTAAAGACTACTCAAACACTGATTCTGGATAGGGCCGATTGAGAAAAAATCCTTTGTTTGGTGGTGACACATTAATAAATAATTGGTAACAGGTTCTTTCTCCATTATGTTTATCCATAATCAATGCCCATATATCCTCTGTAGGGGTGGGGCTGTAGTCTATCTCAGCCTAGATTGGGAAAGAGGTCAGTGCAGGTGTACCCATTCACAATCAGGGATGCATGATAATATCGGCACATCATTGGTATCAGCCAATATCAGCTTTAAAATGAACTATTAGAATCAGCCAACGTGCTTTTTCTTAGTTTGCACAATGAATGAATATTACACACATTGAAAAGTATTGTATTTCATGTCTGCTGGTGGGCCATCCTGATAAGAGTATGCATGCATAATATGATGGTAATTCCCAAAGAGAAGAGACTTGATGATCACAAAAATTAGATGAGGAAAAAGATATGGATATATCAGCATCAGTTATCGGCAAAAAATCCAATACTGTGCATCCCTATTCACAATCATAATCTATCTAGTTAGTTAGTTTCAGTGAGTCCAGCTAACCACGTCCTGAGTCCAGCTCTGTACAAAAGATATCTATCTAAACACCTCACTCTCAGAAAGACAGACAATAAGCGTATTCCCACAATGTTTAAATATTGCTTTGCTTGCTCTAAAGTTGTTCCTCAACATGTAAAACACAGGACTTCACAGATTATTTAACAATCCCTTTAGAATCCTACACCACCAGTTTTAATCATTTCAGCTTTGTTTAAGAGAAATCGTGTTTGTTCCATCAGTTTGGCATTGTGGACTGAATCAAATCAAAGCTGCACTGAATTCACAAAGCTTTGTTGTTGCAGAAAACAAAAAATTGTGCCATAGTTTATGAATTCATCCACAATTGACCCAGAATCCAAACGTGAATTAATGTGAACCGTGCATGTGACCACACAATTTGAAGTACTGTGACTAAATATACTGAAAAACACCTTAGAACTTCTCACCTTACAATTTTATGTCCTCAGGCTTGTATTGTTGACGTCCTTATAAAAAAAAACCCCTGATATTTTATAAGACGTGTAAAAAGTAGGGTTGCAGTGATTTTCAGGTATACCGTGATATAAAACTTGACAGTTATCGTACATTTGCTTACTTGCGATACTGAAAAAAAAATGCAACTGGATGTTGAATCTCCCCTTTATTTAGTTACTTTCAAAGGGGAGACTTTTTACACAAACTCCCATTAACAAAATGGTGTCAAGTTTCAAATATAGTGATAAAATGTTTGTTCAACCAAAAATAACCCTTCCATTTTCATTCCTTTAAGGGTCATTCTGATAGATAATAATATAAATTTGTGTAAAAAGTAGGGTTGCATCCGTGATATCGTGAAACTGCCATATCTTCTGAGACGCTTATCATACCATGAAAATCTCATTCTGCTGCAACCCTAGTAAGAAAAAACTATATTGGTCCATATGCTCTGCAGTTCTTTTCCAGAGGGTAGGTGGTCCAATGGCCAATTTGGCCCCAATGTTGTTTTTATTTATGACCAATAACAGACACACATTATAGAGATAATCATTAGTTACAACTTCCTAATCCTTTATAAAAATGCTGCCTTAAGAAGTGTCATATTAAAAAGTATAAATGTTTGGTATCAGCATTGAAATTCTGATACTGTATTGGCATAAAAAAATCCAGTGATAGCAGCCCTGCTTTAAAAGTACAATATGATTTAAACCATCTAATGTAAAATCCAGTATGCCTTTTTTGTACTGCAGAGCTGCTTCCAAGTTTAAACTGTGTTCATTCATGCTGCTGCTCTGACTGCAGTCAGACGTGACCTGTTAGCACGACTGAGAACAAAAAAAGACTTCATGCATTAAATTAGGCACAGGAAGGAGTTTCGTTGCTTAAAGAACAAATTAAAGGCTTTCCTCTGCTTTGTTCTGCAGAATACAGAAACAGGGAAATAAAAGGAGTCACAGAGGGAATACAGAGCCATTATGTTGTAGCAGCCTCAGACTGGGGACAGTTATTGGTGCCTCGTGCACATTAAAGTTGGCGGATTTGGCCAAAAACACAGACTATCATTACAGAGACTTGTCCTCCCTCTGTGAGTGCTTAATGGCCTCAAACAGTTAAGACAAAACTGAAGATAATTAACACAGAGCTCTAATTAGCATGAAAATAGTTTAACTAACAGAGCGCAGGGGCAGCTGGCAGCCTGACCCGCTTTAACACTGCTCAATACAACAAGTACAAACCGCTAAAGACCACTTTAAAAACGTTAATTAATTAGCAAGAAATGCATTCATTTGCATACAAATAGGTGAGGCAACAAAGAATAGAGGAGGTCAGCAGCCTGACCTTGTTAAAGACTGCTTCATACAAGCTGTTATTACAAATCAGTAAAACTCCACTTCAGTGATTTAAAGCTCTGTAGGCGTTTGGAGCTGGTTAAGAGACAAAAACAAGGCCTCCGCAGGCCGGCTGAGTCCAAGCTGAAACAGATGAAGCTACTGAAAACCCAACAATAGGAACCAAGGGGCTGTGAGAGCTCGACATTATTACTCTGTGAGGGTAACTCAGCCTCCAAACTAAGTTAACTGATAGGCTGAGCTTTTCACCTCATTATTTATCTTTTAATAAATCTCTGGACTGTAGGGACATGTCAATATTATATTTAGAGATGCAGCAACTGGCCAATTATTTGATTAGTTAATTGTCAGATGTCTTGTCTCAGAATTGTCTTACTGTATGTGCAATAACTTATTTTATGTGCAATAATATGTATGAGGACTTTTTTAAAATCCCATTTTAACTGCATACTTTGGCAATGAGTGTATAGTTTATCTACAATTGTGTAGAATCTGAGTGATTTATTTGTTTATTTTTATTACTACTTATTACTTATTTTTATATATGAGCCCGGTCCTTGAGTGCACCTGAATTTTGTTGCATGTTTGTACAATGAAAATAAGGAAATCTGAAATCTGAATCTGACTGTTCAGAAAAAAATGAAATATCTGAAGATGGATTTGAAGGATTTTTCTGATTTTCTGACATTTCATGAATTAAATTCAATTAGATTGAAAGTTATTGCACACAGTATGGAACTTGTGTTGTCAAAAATATCAATGTATTGACATATATGGGTTTCTCTAAAACAGTTTTCTATTTTTCACGATATTGATACACCTGTAGCTGCGCTTTCTCACGGTCTTGCTACTAATGTTTACTGCAGTCATTCTGCTGTTTTCTGCTACTAACCAAGGAACTAAAAGTCCCTATTGTCATGTTATATTTATTTTTGGATAAAAATTTTATATTTAAAGCCGTCAATGTCATTTTTTCCCTATGGTATGGAAATTGTTATTAAATATTAACATTTTTCAAGGTATTGTTTCGAAGTTAGAAATTCCAATATCATGACAACACTAAAAGGTACTGAGACAACAAAATGCGGTTGAGCATCTAACCAGAAGTGAAAAAGCAGTAAAGTGAAGACTTGTAATGCACTCTATATTTACTGGTAGAGAAACAGTAAGGAGTAGACATGATATGCTAAGATACAACATGTGCAGCAGGTACAGTAGGCAGTGCAGGTATTAATCATATATACATATATATGTATTTATAGAATACATGATCAGTTAATCAATAAAATAATCTGCAGATTGATCGATAATGTTGCAGCCCTAATTATATTTCATCAGCTTTCAGCAGCTCTGTTTAGAGCTGAAACAATTAATCAGTTATTCATAACATAGATAGAAAGCTTAACATTCCCTTGTTTCAGCTTCCCAATTGATCAGTGATCATGTGTGTTTTTGGGTTAAATATTGTTGGGTTTGGATTAAATAAACATCCCAGTGCCTGATAAATACATCACTGTGTGTCATTGTTTGGTTGTGTGAGCTGGAGAAGAAGAGTCACTTCATGCAGGGCCCTGCTGGCCTTCATGATGGTTCACAACAGACAGCAGAGGAGGCCAAACAGCCCATAACAGCACGTTTGTTGAGAGCAAAGACTGCTCTGAGTCTGAAACCGACGAGCAACAAGAAACAAACGGGCCATTCATCACAGACCTGCGTGCCTCTTTATTAAAGTGGAAAACATTCACAATGAGTTTAACATGGGGGATTAAAGACGGCACTGATAGTATGAAGGCAGACTGGGGACTGATTAATGATCATCACATGAAGTTGTTTTAACTGTTTGACTTATTTGACATTTCTTTGCCTCACTATAGCTGTGAGATATCTGGATTTTGGTACATTTCAAGAACACTCAAAGGACTCTAAAGGACCATTTAACTCCAGTTTGGTTCATTTATACAATAATAACCAGTGCTGAACTAAATACTTGATTTAATTATTAGTCAAATAGATTTTTGTCTTAAATCAATTAACTGCTTACCTTACTTTTCAATCAGACACTGATGATTCTCTGGTTGCGCACTCTTTGATGTGATGATTTGCTGCTTTTCTCAGTTTTATATTACTGAAAATTTTTATGTTTGAGGTTTAGATCATTGGTCAAAGAAACAAGACATTTAAAGATGTCCCATTGGATTTGGGGAAACTGTGATGGACATCGATTTTTCACTATATTTCATGTCAACTGAGTAATCAAAATAAAAAAATCAATAGATGGATAAGTAAGAATCAGTGGAATACAAATTCTAAGTTGCAGCACTAAAGTTAAAAGGTAAAACTGTGTAAAACTTCAGAAAAAACTGTTGGTATGGTTACGTGTTATTTACGTCAAGCACTGATTCAAAAAATAGTTGACCAGAACTTAGAAGCCAAAAAATAAAAAACAAATGAGTGAAATTAAAAAAATGAAAATTAAATTAAATTAAAGAAATAAATAAAAAATTAAGTTCAGTATATTCATTTGTTAAAACAACTAAATCAAATAACTTAAATAATAAAATTAAAATAAATGACTATAAACAAAATATAAGAAATAAATATTTCTTATATTTTTTGTCAATTTATTTATATTATTTCATTGGATTATAAAAGACATGGGAGAAGCAGTAAGCAATTTTCATAATTTAAGCAATATTATAATGAAAATTAAACAATATATTTAACGTTGAACTTTTTGTCATGTAAAAAATTCAGTAAAGTAAATTAACTAATTAAACCTAACTTAAAATATTTGAAACATTGAACGTCTCACCTCCAGATAGGGCACGAGCCGGCAGGACAGGTCTCCTAGCAACCTCTTCAAGGTGAGCTCGTGGAAGACGACCACCGGAAGACAGAAGAACAGCACGAGGAAATCCCAGAACGCCAGACCCGCCAGGATACAGTTCCACGCGCTCTTCAGGTAGAAGTTGTGCCACACGATGCACATGAGCGCGAGGTTCCCCACGATACCCGCGGCGAACAATACCAGCGCGAGCAGAATGACTGCGTACGCCCAGTAAGAGCCATCGGTGACCGGGAACAGCGGGTTGAGGAGCCCCAACCCACGGTTGGAGGAGAGGTTACCCTGCCGGGCGGACTCGGGTAACCGCGGTGTGGTGAAGTACCCGCTCGGGTCGTCGTAGCGTCTCGGAGGCCCGTAGCTGCTCTGTGAGTGCGGGTCTCTTTTTTTGAAATTCCCATCCTTGGCTCCTCGCGCGAATCGCTTCAGTTCGGGAACTCTAGAACTTTCACCCCGGTCTAGAGTAGTCCTGTCCGGGGAGAGAGACTCCTGAGTCCCCGCTGCCTGCGGTCCAGCATCCTCCGCCCGCTGCGCCTCCAGCTCCAGCTCCAGCGCGGACCCTGACTGACCCTCCGGGTCTCTGTGGGCTGTGTGGGCTCTGTGGACGTGACGGAGCTCCGCGGTCCGCACAAAGAGAAGCAACAGAAACCAAACCGGACTCATTTTAACCGTTGAACTAGAAGTAACAGGTCCGTGTTAGCGATCTGTTTCACAGACATGTGATGCAGCAAATATTAAACTCCTGGAATAAAAAGAGAGCCCATAAAACTGTCGGTGTCACAGTCCGACCTCAGTCCGGTCCTGATGGAGAAGTTTGGAGACTGATGCTCACTTCAGCACTTGTTACCCATCAGTATCAAGACTGAACACAACACGGGACTTCCGGTTATGACTTTCAAAGTAAAAAAAAATGAAGGTGAGATAAAATGAACGCAGCCCCTCTGAGCATGGAGATGATACAGAAGTTCAGTTTAAATCTATATACTAAAAATTGTTGCATCAACACGTCATGTTTTATCATGACGTAATCACTGTCATGTGTTGGTATAAACGGAAGTACGTTATGTGTGAACATGCATTTCAATAAATTAACCAATATTACTTTTTTTTTTGAGTAGAATAACAATGGAATTTTGGTCTGATTTGAGTTCTCATGCTTTCAGTACTACTAGGGTCAAACAGTGAGTGATAAAATAAACAAGTTAACATAGTTCAGAAACTTGTTGCACATCATCAAGTTTCTGAACTATGTTAAGTTTATTTTAATAGGGAATGTATGTATTAATAAACAGAGGGTTTTAGATTCACAACCCTCTTTTCATCTTTTTTCAATTGAATTTAACTCAATGTCAAACTGCTTTGGTCTTATGAACAACAGAAAAAGTAACACATTTTTAGAATATTACAAAACATATTTGATGAAACCCCTGATGTGAAATGAACTGTTTTGTTTGTTTGGTTTTTGTTGTTGTTGTCTTCTAATCTCCATTCTTACTTTATCCGGATCAGAGTGGACCTGCTGTAGGTTCACTGCAGCAATTAGCTCGTGAAATCTATCACTTAAGTATTTTTTTTTTTTTTTTTGGCAATTTTAGTAACACAAAAAAACATGATACATTTTACACATTAGAATTACAAATTGTGGGGCGTCGGTGGCTTAGTGGTAGAGCAGGCGCCCCATGTGCAAGGCTGTTGCCGCAGTTGCCTGGGTTCAACTCCAGCCTGTGGCCCCTTGCTGCATGTCTCTCCCCCTTCACACTTCACTGTCCTATCAATTAAAGGCAAAAAATGCCCATAAAAATATCTATCAGAATTACAAATTGTGACCTTTTATAAGGCTGATATATCATTAGTTTTGGACTCCATGTCCTGGATTTAATTAGACTAAGAAAAAAAAATAATAATGATAAAATACAGTAAATTTTTTAAGTCAGTGATTCCTGGGATCTGGGTGACACTATTGCTTTTAAATAAACTTGTCAAAAATTATATGAATAAGCTTTGCATCGGAACAAACTACAGCCTCCAAAAAAAAACAATAACTTGAATCAATCCCTCTTCAAAAAACTGAACATTATAACCTTCATGGAGGAGGCACTTGTTGTATTTGGACTGCATTGGTTTAAGCTAGCTGGACCTGATAAACTGGGCATGCAGTGTATTCCTATTCCCAGAAACTTAGTAAGTTTCTTCATATTCAAACCTCATAAAATGTAAAAACCAAAATAAAAAGAAACAGTGAATACACTTGCCACATAAATATACATATGAATTAATGGATGAAGCAAAGGCAACCGGGAAAGGAATATATTTTTTCATATTTAATATTCATTTTTGTTTTTTATTTTACTATTTGTGAACTTAATTATCTTTTAATTTGACCATTTTCTTTGTTTATTTGTTGATTTTTTTGTAACAAGTTTGGCCCTCTGAAGTTGTGATTGGCTGCTGCTGCTGCTGCTGCTGCTCATTGTCCGCAAGTTCATTTGCAGCATTGTTTCCACGACAACTAATGAGAAAACCAAACCAGATGAACCAAAAGACCACAAAATATCTCAGTATTTACTTATATAAAAATATAAATCCGATACTCCGATGATCCTGAACTTTCACTTGATGTCTGCGTCTTAAGCTGCCATTTATTTGGTGTCATTCCTGCTGTTGAAATTAGTCTGAGGCACAAAATGGCACCAACACAGAGAGGTGATCTGTCAGCTCCTGCTGATTCTGAAGTCCAGGACATTGTATGCAAACTGAAACACAGAGACTTCACCTCCCATAGTTCTCAGCTCTTCAGGGAGGACTTCAGCTTCCTCCGGGCGTCCTTGTGTTTTTTGCGGTACTCCTGTGGAGACAGACAGGAAAGTACAAATATCTTTACCAAACCTTCCTAATTTCAGTTAAAGTCTTCACTCAGTCTGAGGTTGAGAGTGAGGTGTTCTGAATAACAGAACGGTACAATCGAACAGTGCTCTGACTTTATGAAGAGTCCAGTTTGTGCCAGAGTGTAAAGTGACATTTACCTGTTTGAGCTCGCTCCTCCTTTCCTCCCACTGCTCCCTCTGCTCCTCCAGCTGAGAGGGGCGACAGAACAACCTGGGACCCTCTGATGGAGGAGAGACACACAAATAAAACTCCATTCACTTAAAAGAAACAGTACAACCATGGACTGTATAAAATAATGGACCTAGCCTCCATAATGTCGCCCATTGGTTTAGTTTGACTCCTGTTTTGAAGCAGCATTTTGACCTTTGTCATCTTGGATTTACTCTTTATGTCAGTTTCACCCTGGGCAAACTCTTGAACTATACTGGTGAGATCACAAAAATATATTTAAAGATTTAACCTGCTTGATAAAAAGTATTTTCCTTAATGTCTGTGACCAAGTCACACAGTAGTGTACAAAGTGCAGAGGTCACAAGCAGGGCTAGGAGGGACTATTTTAGGGAATCTTTTATTCTAATCATCCTACCTTTCAGTCTGACATCTTCAGGGTAGAAGAAGAATAGATCTCTCTTTGAGGAAGTCTCCTCTCTGTGAACATAACACAAATATACACACATTCAGATATCTGATTTCAATTGAATTAGATTTTAGAAACAGTCATGATTTTTAACATTGAAGTGACAGGTCTACAGGTAAGGCATCAGTTGACTTCAAACATACTGTGTCTGACAGGTGTGAAGTAGGCAGGGTTTTCCCCATTCTTCATACAGATACCTTCAATACCATGAATGCTTTTGAGGAGGTAAACCTCAATGATGCATCACATTTCATCCTCAGATGAATATTCAATTAATTATCTATGCAAGCAACAACAAAAAAAAATGAACGATATCGATATAGTTTTGATGAATTGTTTCAGTCAAACATTTGCTGGTTCTAGTTTCTTAAATCTCCTAATTTGTTGTGTTTCTTTGTCATAATTGATAACTGAATCTATTTTGGTTCTGGACTGATCATCAGCAGAGAGACTGATAATGATCAATGATCAGAACAGTTGTTATTTGCAGCTCTAGTAGAAACTTTGACTTTAGGCATGGTTTGACAACATGTCACACAGTCTACCTTGTACGAAATAAACCAAGGCTTTGAAAAACACACAGTACAATATTTTTTCTCACTCTGTGGTTGTAGCGACGACGTTGCTTTGCTCCTCCTCTTCCTCCTTCTCTTCCTCCTCCTCATCTGAGCTACTGTCCTGGAAATGAAGGTTTTGTTGCCATGACACTTTTGGTGCCTGGATGCTCTCTATCTTGTACTCCGCTGGCAGAGAGATGTAAAAATTAGAGAAACAAATCTTCCTTCAGACAGTCTGAGATAAATATCTGAGATATAACCTACCTGTCTCTCCACTTCCTGTTTCTGTGTCGTCTCCAAAGAAGGAGAATTTAAATCCAGACGACTCCACTTTCTCCACGCTGGGATCTGCTGAGAGGAGAGATGACAGCGGGGTCGGCTGCTCGTCCTTCCCTCCTTCCTCCTCTTCTTCTTCCTCTTGGTCCCAGTTCTTCTTCTCATCTTCTCCAGCCACATCATCCTCCTTCGTCTGACCAAACACAGCCTTCAGGTCGCCAGATACGTCGTAGAAAATCTCCTTAGAAACCTCTGGAAGCTTCTGAGCCTCCTCCCTCTTCTTCCTCCTGGCCGCCTTGCTGTGAAGACAACAGATCACATGACAGTTTTACTAGAGATCAGGTTGAGCTTAGACCGTGCGCATGACGCAGTTTGACTGCATTTGATTGAAGAACTTTAGGAGGTTTTTATATGTGAAAACTTTAAATTGCCATCATTCTAAGACAAGATCAGATGCCCTACAACTACACATTAGTGTACTATATATTATTGTTCTCACTCTGATGAGTGTTCTTTGCTGCTCCTGCTTTATATCATTGCCGCATCTGACACTACTGATCAGTATCTACTGTACCTGTTCTCCCCAAAAACACTATCTTATCCTGGTGAAATAAAGTCAAACTGAAGTTAGATAATCTCAGCAGGCGGGCTGGGATATCTGGAATTCATGAGTGATTTAAATCTGATCAGTCAAGCTGAAAATTCACCATTCAAGTCACAAATGATCACGTTTCATCCATCAGGCCCATTCATTCATATATGGAGTCCCACATGGCTCAGTCCTGGGTCCCCTCCAGTTCTCTATAAACAGTAGCTTGTAAAGTATTTAGCAGCTTGTACTTTTTTCCCAACATTTTTTTGTGTTTTAGACTTAATTCAGAATGGATTAAATTACCTTTTTGGAAATTCTTCTCAAATAACACCCAGTAGTTAAGAAAACACACTACGTTTTTGCAAATTCTTAAATAAAATCGAGAAAGATTGATTCTGATGATTTTTGTTGAAATTTCTCATCTATACAAGTATTAAAAGAGTACTGCACGATTCAGCATTGAACTCCTACAACATCAGTGGACTAACAATGGCCAGAGGAAAAAAAAAAAGATCTACACTGATGCAGCCGAATCGAATTATTGTCTATTTTATTCCATGCATTTCTTGTTTGTCAAACCTGCCAGCAACATTACTTGAGCACCAAATATGGATCAATCCAGCGCTGAAAATAGTCCCGAACAAATACATTACTGCCTTCTGTTTAAAGTAGTGTTTGTGTCAATGTCCATGTGTTTTAGGAAGTTAGTTGAAAATTAAACTATATTTTGGAGCTGTTTTTTAAGATTTATGTCTCTATGTCAAGGACAAGTGAGGTTGGGGCTGAGTGCCACAGACAGAGTAGGGAAGTCAGAAAGTGTTGAAAGATGAACTAACACATCGTCAAACTGCATCTTTTCAAGGCATTTTAAACAACTGTAAAAACTTGGAATACTGCCGTAACCTTTAA